CGAAACTCATCATGCCTTGTTCATTCATGTAAGGGGTGCTCGAGTCGATTCCTCTATTTTTCTGATTTCATCATTTACCAAGCATTCTTTGCGCCGCTGCTCATTTTGTTCGAAATAAGACGATAAGTAAATTTGGTGTCCAGTATTTTAGGAGGGTGCAATTTTACGTTGTGGTCTGATATTCCCAACAACGTAAATAATTATTATCGAGTCGATTCCTCTATTTTTCCGATTTCATCATTTTATCAAGCATTCTTCGCGCCGCTGCTCATTTTGTTCGAAATATAAGACGATACCGGTAAGTATAATTTGGTGTCATGCATTTTACGAGGGTGTAATTTTACGTTGTGGTCTGATATTCCCAACAACGTAAACAATTAATATGGACACGAAACTCATCTTGTCTTGTTCATGTAGGGGGTACTCGAGTCGATTCCTCTATTTTTCCGATTTCATCATTTTATCAAGCATTCTTCGCGCCGCTGCTCATTTTGTTCGAAATATAAGACGATACCGGTAAGTATAATTTGGTGTCATGCATTTTACGAGGGTGCAATTTTACGTTGTGGTCTGATATTCCCAACAACGTAAACAATTAATATGGACACGAAACTCATCTTGTCTTGTTCATGTAAGGGGTGCTCGAGTCGATTCCTCTATTTTTCCGATTTCATCATTTACCAAGCATTCTTCTCGCTGCTGCTCATTTTGTTCGAAATTAGACGATAAGTAAATTTGGTGTCTAGAATTTTACGAGGGTGCAATTTTACGTTGTGGTCTGATATTCCCAAACAACGTAAATAATTAATACGGACACGAAACTCATCGTGTCTTGTTCATGTAGGGGGTGCTAGAGTCGATTCCTCTATTTTTCTGATTTCATCATTTTATCAAGCATTCTTTGCGCCGTTGCTCATTTTGTTCGAAATAAGACGATAAGTAAATTTGGTGTCTAGAATTTTACGTGCGTGCAATTTTACGTTGTTGTCTGATATTCCCAACAACGTAAATAATTAATATCGAGTCGATTCCTCTATTTTTCTGATTTCATCATTTTATTAAGCATTCTTCGCGCAGCTGCTCATTTTGTTAGAAATATAAGACTATACCGGTAAGTATAGTTTGGTGTCCAGCATTTTACGAGGGTGAAATTTTACGTTGTGGTCTGATATTCCCAACAACGTAAATAATTAATACGGTCACGAAACTCATCATGCCTTGTTCATTCATGTAAGGGGTGCTCGAGTCGATTCCTCTATTTTTCTGATTTCATAATTTTGTCATGCATTCTTCTCGCCGCTGCTCATTTTGTTCGAAATAAGACGATAAGTATAATTTGGTGTCCAGTATTTTACGAGGGTGCAATTTTACGTTGTGGTCTGATATTCCCAAACAACGTAAATAATTAATACGGACACGAAACTCATCGTGTCTTGTTCATGTAGGGGTGCTCGAGTCGATTCCTCTATTTTTCTGATTTCATCATTTTATCAAGCATTCTTCGCGCCGCTGCTCATTTTGTTCGAAATATAAGACGATACCGGTAAGTATAATTTGGTGTCCAGTATTTTAAGAGGGTGCAATTTTACGTTGTGGTCTGATATTCTCAACAACGTAAATAATTAATACAGTCACGAAACTCGTCATGCCTTGTTCATTCATGTAAGGGGTGCTCGAGTCGATTCCTCTATTTTTCTGATTTCATCATTTTATCATGCATTCTTCTCGCCGCTGCTCATTTTGTTCGAAATAAGACGATAAGTATAATTTGGTGTCCAGTATTTTACGAGGGTGCAATTTTACGTTGTGGTCTGATATTCCCAACAGCGTAAATAATTAACGGACACGAAACTCATCTAGCCTTGTTCATGTAAGGGGTGTTCGAGTCAATTCCTCTATTTTTCTGATTTCATCATTTTATCATGCATTCTTCTTTCCGTTGCTCATTTTGTTCGAAATAAGACGATAAGTAAATTTGGTGTTCAAAATTTTACGAGGGTACAATTTTACGTTGTGGTCTGATATTCCCAACAACGTAAATAATTAATACGGACACGAAACTCATCGTGCCTTATTCATGTAGGGGGTGCTCGAGTCGATTACTCCATTTTTCTGATTTTATCACTTTATCAAGCATTCTTTGCGCCGCTGCTCATTTTGTTCGAAATAAGACGATAGGTAAATTTGGTGTTCAGAATTTTACGAGGGTGGAATTTTACGTTGTGGTCTAATATTCCCAACAACGTAAATAATTAATACTGACACGAAACTCATCGTGCCTTCTTCATGTATGGGGTGCTCGAGTTGATTCCTCTATTTTTCTGATTTCATCATTTTATCATGCATTCTTCGCGCCGCTGCTCATTTTGTTCGAAATAAGACGATAAGTATAATTTGGTGTCCAGTATTTTCTCATTTTGTTCGAAATAAGACGATAAGTAAATTTGGTGTTCAGAATTTTACGAGGGTGAAATTTTACGTTGTGGTCTGATATTCCCAACAACGTAAATAATTAATACTGACACGAAACTCATCGTGTCTTGTTCATGGGTGCTCGAGTCGTTGTGGTCTGATATTCATCAAGGAATTGAAGGTTAGTTCCATTTTTCATTAAAAATTTGATAGTATTTTGTATATATCGATATTTTTGAAGAGTTGGAAATTAACAAAATAAAGCACGAATCGATTGCAGTAGCCGAGACTGTTTAAAATGTGACCTTGTTGCCTGATCGGGAAACGAACATTGTTTAGTCCCGTATTACGTTGTGATGAGTTGTTAATTTCTATTGTATTGTTAACTAGACTTGGTACAACATTAGTATAGTGAAACGTTTTTATAATTATAGGAGCTGATTAATTTACAGTAATTGATACTTTTGTCGTTAATTAAGACATGTTTGCACGTTTATCCCAACAACTTAAATAATTAATACAGACACGAAACTCATCGTGTATTGTTTATGTTAGGGGTGCTCGAGTCGATTCCTCTTTTTTTTTTCTTCAGATTTTATCATTTTACCAAGCATTCTTCGCGCTTCTGCTCGTTTTGTTCATTCCTTGATCAAGCACACCATTTGTACCGACATATATGATGATCACATCATCATAACCAAACACATTCATGTCATCAAGCTTTTCAAACACATCCAAAACTTTAGCTCCTCTTAAGCATTTTATATATCTGTATTTGCAATCTGCAATCCCCTTTCATTCATGGCCCTAATCATAGTCTCCTATTTGTGCATTGGTGGAGTTTTCATCTTTATCATTGTCATTTTCTAGTTTAGCTGAATGAAATGTCAAAGGAGAGTCGTCATCGTCAATGTGTGTATCTTCTTTGTTATTGATTAATTATTGCTGTTATACATATCTATATTTTTTATGTGGTTGTCAAGAACTTTATTGGATTGGATTGGATTTATTCGGTGTAAACACTAAGCCCACGAAAGTCTACAAGAAAAATTATTTCCAGTGTGGTCCTTCTGGTAGTGATTGGGCAGTAGTACGCTATTTTCCGAAGAGTGCACTGCGTTCTTTAACGTGCACATGGGCCATAAAATGCACACGGGACCAATGTCTTAAACGTCTCATCCGAAAGACGGTGCGCTACTGTAACTCTGTCTCTTATACACATCTAGATGTGTATAAGAGACAGGTGGTGTGATATGGGGACCTAGAGATCTCCACGGTTGTTCAGCGCACATTCATTGGCACCGCTAGATTAGCCGACTGAACTAAGCTTCTCTTTATTTCTTGACGGATACGTTTCACTTTTCCTTTGCGCTTCCAATTGTGTTAATTGTGTTTGCTGTTGTTCTGCTTTTAGTTCCAATGTATTTACTCTGTCACTCAGTGTCATAATCAATGTAGGCCTAGATAGATGCATGCAGTGGTTACAACAGTGTGAGTTTTTTTTTCCGGTTCCTACTCTTGTTGTTTTGAATAAATGAATAAATAAAAATATTAAAAAAAAAAATTAAAAATTAATATCTAAATCAGTACAAAATTATTTAGTTAAAGAAGT